CGACGACGGCTCAGATATGATTTCGTCGTCGATAACATCATAAATTTCTGAATCTAATTCTACTTGATCGTGGTTGAAAGAGTCTGCAATTAAGTGAGGGGCACTTAAGTCTTGGTAAAAAGTTGCAGTCGACTGATCAGAAATACTGGCTTCTAAATTGTTAATTGTTTCTACAACTGTTTTTTCGACACGACGGCGTAATTGGCATTTCGATAAGCTCGTGCAAGATTTCATGGTGTAACTAAACAAAAAAGTAATTTGAAAAATGCGCACTTTTTTCTTTAATGGACAACCTGAGATGATAAATGTAGAATGTCTATCGACAATATCTAACAGATATCGGTTCACGACGTCTACAGGAGCCCTATTTGCTGACATCGTAATCAATACATCGTTATTATATCCTATGGAGGTCGTCACTGCGACATGTCGCCCTTAGACGATGGCGATGAGTTTGGGAGATCCTCATGACGAGTGTGGTAGCTTGGGTAGGGTCCTTCTCCAAAACTGTTTACACAAAATCTTCACTGTTTAATTTAATATTACTTGAGACACTTAGAGCTTTGCCCTCAATCTTCATTTGACCTAGTGGGTCCGCTTTAAAGGTCAGCAGGTCAATTTTCCTGTGCACGGTCCGATTGATCACTTTTCATGAAAACGTATCAGCGACGATGGAGGCCCAACGTTATGTAATTCATTGTGGATTCTTTTATTATTACATGCAATGATTATCTAGGGTTGTAATATTAACAATCATTCACCTCTGACCTCTTAGGTTATCATGCTATATGAGTAATTCAGTTTGGAAAGTGTTTTTTTGGCTCCTTCAAACTCTGGGGGCACTGGAGGGGGCATTTATAAAGCTATCGGCCCAAAATTTTAAATATATCTTTTTGAGAGTATTATCTTGCAACTGACCAAAAATCAGTTCAAAATTCAACTCCCCGCCAGAGATATTCACCCGCGAATTCGTCAAAACCATGTCCTAACGCCTTTTGTACTACATGTTATTCTATCCATAAAAATTGAAATCCTTCACCCTCCCTCCACCCTTCCGGCACTGATCAGGAACAAACTCAGGGTTTGATTCATGCAAAAATTCTGAATGACGAGAGGAGTCCCATTGTCGATAAAGTTGGAGCCGAATTTTATCTTTAGCACGCCACACGCCTTAATTTCTCTGCCAATCACAGATTTCTTCCGGCCAAATTGAACCGTATTTCGCACATGGGTTTGAAGCACTTTAGTTGAAGTAGAGTTCACCCATGAGGCGAAGGTGAATATGACCACGTTCGTTACTATGGAATTTACCAGGAGTAGGGGAAACACAAGAAATCCCGGCATCGTTACTTTCGAATACAGCTTGACGCATACGTACGAGCAGACAATCTGAGTCAGTGGAACGCAGATTATCAGCGTCGGGACGACTCGCACCATGAGAAAGCCATTCATGTATTTTTCCAGGATTTGAATACTTCTATGGAGTTTGAGGCAAGCCCGGTTTTTCAAAATTGTGTTCGAATTTCCGATCCGGCTAGAAGTAAGGGGAAATGTTTATTTGAAACTATGTATTAAGGTTCTTTAAAAAAAATTGAGTCGATCTTGGTCACAAACAAAATGTGAAATTAAAAAAAAACATGTTGCATACAGCGGATGAACCCGTATGGATCGACTACTTTGTACATAGTGTGTCCATAACGTGGTAATAGATAAGCTGGACAATATTGAGCTACTGCACGATTTTTCAAAGTGTAAAGGACTGTGCAGAAAGCATGTGAAACATACAGTCATCGCCCCATTTGAACGCACTGGCAAAACACAAGCTGGGAGATATGACTATATTTAGATTGAGCGAGATTTTTTAAAGTATAACCTTTTCAGTAGTTGAAAGTAATTCAGAATTGTCACAACTACCGAGAACAAGATGTAAAAAGCCCACGTCGTCCCAGAGCTGCACATTTCCAGAGCCATCCAGCCTTCAAATAGAACTACGAAGATTTCCCTCCCAGGCCGCATCCACGTGATATGGGCGCATCTTGGCGAGAATGAGAGCAGAAAGGGGGGAGTGCATGGATCAACCGTGAGAAGCAAGAATACCGCGAGTGGAATTGCCATCACGGTAAATTCAAAGAATTTGAGAAAGATCATCATCGCCTTCGTTTCGGGCGACGTTGTCATACATTCTCCAACTAAAGGGTGTCACATTAAATTATGGACACAAATTTTTATATGATTTTACACAAAATTTTTGGCTAAATGCGCACATGCGCATTTAAAGATCCAATATTAAACTAGCATCGAGCGGTATTGATACATATATTACTCTATCAAAGTGGTATCCTTTAAATTAAGATAAGTAAAATTTACTCAAGACCGAGCAAAGAAGAGGATAGGATAAAAGAGGATAATTGATCCCTCCGTTGGACAAATTTAACATAACTTTGGACAAATTTTGTACAATGGTTGGATAAATTTTAAATACTGGTTGTGTCATCCTCTAAGTAAGAGCTCTGTATTAAAGTTTCATCTGATCGGTAGCAAATTTATACTGACCGGTTTAATTCTAATACCAAACGGAACCAAATTTGGTATCTAGAAATCAATACCTGCCTGATTATAAAAGACTATTCTAGCAGTGAACAAACCTTCTAAGAGATCACGCTCGAATGTGACAATCGAATTGATTATTTGCACCGGTGCGATATCTAGTCCCACATTCCACCCGAGCGAGACGAGAATTACGTAGAGGATGACGAATGGAAATCCCTGCAATCTTGTCAGAATTGTCACGTTACCAAAAAGATAATGATAGAGCTGCAACCTTTGGAACGCTGATGCATGCGTTACAGAGCAGGACCAAAAAGTAGATTGACATCACGAGGTATTGCATTTGCGTGACCAGCAATCGCCTTCGGGATTTCATGACGATAAGTTTTCCAGAGATGGAATCAAATTCGTACGGAACGCTTGCAATGAGACGGGAGAATTTGAGATGACGAATTAGCAAGGGTAAAAACTGGGTAGAATACATCACTATTGGAGAGCCCTGAGAAGTAGAGGGGATTTTGTTCGGAAAATATCAAATGAAAGATTCAGGAATAAAACGAGATAAAGTTGTTATGCGTTGTTTGGGCGTAGGAGCTAATTATTGTCACCAGCTGTCATATGGTAACTCGTCAAATTAATTGTATTACCGTACGGTAATAATTTTTACCCAATTTTCTACTAGCTAGTGCAGATGTATGTACATACATTGGTACAGTATACGCAGAAAGTCATTATACCCTCATACTTTTTGTACATAAAGCCTAATATTTTTTGAGAAGCTTGAGAGGGTGAACTGCAATTTTGCACAATTGCTTACTATGATGCAAGGTTTCCGAAACCATACTTTAGATAGCGGCGTTGCACAAGCAACGACACGGTGAAATTATATCCAAAATTCCGACAGGAAAAAACTCTTTATACCCCGATTTAAGTTTCATGACAAATTTGTTCAGAGTCTTCTGTGTTAAATAACAGTCAAATTAGCATCTTGGTTGTCGACCTGGATCCTTTGGGAAGGCAGAGACACACCTTGGAATCGACCCAAGAAATGGGTTGGTGAAAGAAGTGTCAAAATTCTCCAATTCAAGCTATTCGGCGTCGACCAGGCTTTGAAGTTTGATGGCGTGTGCTGAGAAATTTTGGGCTTCACCATTGACCACAAACGTGCATTAACATGCTGTCCGATGATTATGGATGGCAATTCAACTATTCAATCTCCTTTGTTGTAAACCAAATCCTGAATAATTTTGATGTGTGCTTAGGATGGTCTTACTATTTGAAAATATAATTATTCCCTAACGGTAATTTCCTCCCGTTGCCATCAAATTCCAACCCAGAACGTCGCAGCAGTAGTTGGAGTACATTATTACTTCGATTAGATTAAACTTTCGGACGCCGTTCCACAACGTAACGCCCAAACAATTCAATTTCCACCCCCATCCTTAATGCTTAGTGTACGGTACTTGGTTTTGTCAGTGTCTTTTTACGGAATCCATATTCTGCTGGTCCCAATTTGAACCAAACAGGTTGATGTTGATGTCGCCAAACAATATCAGGAGTTTCGAAAATTTAACCGTCCAATTGAGATGTTTTTTAGCCCATTTAGCGCTGTTCCCAATATACGCCTCGCGGGGAAATGAATTTATCTATGTTGCTGGCTATTCAAATCCAGGTTAAGTGATCCTATTCTTTATAATTCGTACAGAAACTCGAAGATTATATTCTTCTCTCGTTTCCAAGTTGATTTTTGGTGAAGATAACCGTGAAATCTTTGACTTTTGGCGAAGTTGCCGTGATTGCTCGTTTTAGACGTAGTTTTGGGCCGGTATTTCAAAAATCGATATAGATTTGACGTGCCATGACCTCGTGACCGTTTCACTTCACCCTTTTGCTACATTTCGTTTGCAATGGTTTATTTGATCTACATACACGATTACTGAGAATGCTTCTTACGCTCCTGAGAAATCAGCAGACAAATGTATGTATGTATATAACATGGGGAGGTGAACCTCGGTTTGGCCTACAACTTGTAGGCCTACAAGGTATAAAGTTATTTGAAGCATGCTTATTCACAATACTTACCTATGTACATATTTATGTAATTCAATTCACATTTCAAACTAGCCAACAGACTTCCTCATAAATGGTTACATATCGTTGATAAGCATAACAACAAAAATATTACAATGTACATACGTCACATCACGTGAGGTACTGATTTACATATAATATTTATTGGCAAGCAGTGACTGCTGAAGCATGGGAACAGAGGGACAATGTCCCCACGGTTATTCGATGTACGCATTATCCCCACATGTTATACAAACCCATCCCTCCCACAATGGTAATGTCCCCCACGTCTGGCTTCCGTGGTCACTGATCGCATGTGACTCACATGTACATATGTATGTATTTACATATGGATTTTCGTACAGAAAAGAGGACTGCAATTTATATTTCAGAATTATTTCGTATTATTAACCTCATGCAAATAATATCTTAGGAGTCAAATTTTTGGTTCGACAAATTTCACGCACCCTTTATGCACGGCCCCTTCGCACAAGTTCAGTCAGATCTCCAACCCGCGAGACAGCTGACAAAATAAACTCAATTTTCCAAGTCCCACAAAATGCTAAAGTAAACAAATACAAATATTAAACTCAACATCGTTAATTAATTAAAACTACCAATTAATTAAACTTTACCATGGATAATCCTAACCCTGTCCATAACCCTTGCTTATTGTGCCGCACCCCGTGTCACAAATCTGTTCTCGATGTCGACCCGGTCGCCGAGGATGGAATCCATGTTATCTTTTTGTTAAGCAAAATCCTCCAATTTCCGGCGGACCGGTGTTCCTCGCTCTTATCGAGACACGGCCGCCCCTCCGAGTGGATGGTCCTTTGCGACACGTGCAACGCCCTGGTCTCGCAGGGCATCGCCTTGTTCGTCGAAATGGAGAAACTTCGCGTCAAATTCGACCAGGTTCGGGATATTCTCAGAAATCAGGTCGTTATCAATGACGACGACAACGACGAGGTCGAAATTGGACCAGACAACGGCAGCAATAAAGGAGCGAAAGAAGTTCGGGCTTATTTGAAAGCGACTAATTTTAAGAGGGAGCCAGGTATATTTTTAAATAACAAATTGAACATCAATTTTAAAAATTTGCAAGATTTTGCAATGCGTTTGTAAATAATTTTATCAATTTTTACGACTTAAAACGACTAACTAAAATCTGTAAGCTAATTTTCCTCAGAATTATTTTTAAAAGTGTACAAAATTTACAGAATTTACAATGCTACCAAAGCTTGCGTGAATTACCTTGCTTCATTATCTTGTTAATTTATTCCGTCACATATGTAAATATTTATTACATTTACTTGTAGGTCGTGCTAATTGTGACCCTGGAACGACCTTGACTCACACTGACATAGCCGCAGCGGCGAGAAAAGTTAATGAAATGGTATGATTTTCGTAAAAATTGCGACAATTATTACGAATACTCGCTAATTAGTGTTAATTGAAAGCCTTGATTTGTTTTTTTAGGTGAGGAAAGAATCCGAAACTATGATTAAGCTGGAAGAGGCTAATGAGCTCACCGACATTATTTGCATGCCGGATATCGATCCCGTCCTAAATTATGAGGATGTTAATCTGCTCGGCGAAGAAATTCTTCCTGATGGCGACACTGCAGATACAAATTTTGGACTGGATGATAATTATAACGATGTCGATGATCCCCTCAAAATTAAATCTGAGCAGGATTCCAGCTCGGAACTGGGAGACGATGTAAATTTTGGTGAAAACATGGACACAGAAAACGTAAGCGAATTTTAGCACACATTAGTATATAAAAATTAACTAATCAATCAATTTTAATGGGATAGGGTGACAATTCTTGGCGTGACGATGGCGTCCGTACTCCAAACGACAAGGTGAACACCAAAAAATGACAATATTTATATTAAGTCAAGTAATAGTTTGTTAAAGATGAATACCTATTTTTTTAATTTTTGAGTATTAATTTTGACACGGCTTTATAATTACTCATTGCACTTTTCCAATCATAGTTAAATATGTAAATCAAGATTTATGTAAATAATTCCTTTCCCCAGATCGAAACTCGTCCCGCTTCTTCCGCCACGCGCACCTACCCCCATCTTCCCCCCGCCACCCCATCTTGGACCTGGGCTGACTTCGCCACCTGGCAAGCAAACCTCAACTGCCAACTCTTCGGTACCACATCTACCCGCTCTGCACGAAACGTGGTCCCCCCACTCACCTGGCTTGCCAAAAAATACAACTTTTCCTCCTTCCCCTGCCCCCACTGCCCCCGCCTCTGTGCCACCGTTAACACGTACATGAAGCACACAGCCGTCTGCCTACGCCTCCAGCAACAAAAAACCGACCAACCCGCCCACCAATGCCCCCACTGCCCGCAGAAATTCATGGAACCTGGAATCCTACAACGACACATAATCAGCACCCACCTCCCCCCAGAATCCGTCTCGTGTCCCGGGTGCGGTCTCCCCTTCCCGGATCCGAGCGCCTTTAATCGCCACATTTCCCAAACTCCAACCTGCTTCAAAAGCGCGATTCCTTGCCCGACATGTTCCCACGGTTTAAAATTCTTCCAATCTCCACGTGCTCTAGAGGTCCACGTGGCCACGAAACATTCAGACATTCGTCCCTATCAGTGCCCCCATTGCCAGCAGAGTTTTGCATACGCATGCGCGAAAAAGCAACACATGTCCACCTGTCACCGACCGGATGGCGCAGAAGATATCGCGGTGTGTGAAATCTGTGGCGCCAGAGTCTCCGCGCGCTCGGCGGGGCTGGCGAAGCACATAAAAACCGTGCATGACAGCAGGAAGCCCGGCGCGAAGAGGTACAAATGTGACATCTGCGGGAAGGAGATGATTTCAAACTGGAAGTTAAACAAGCATCGAGAGATTCATATTAAACCCGAAGACGCCCCGCATTTGTGCACCCTGTGTGGGAAGAGGTTTCGATTAAAGGACTATTTGAGGATTCATATGAGGTCGCATGATCCCGAAAGGAGGGGACAGTACAAGAGGAGGAGGAAGGCAGATCCGGAAAGGAGAGGGGCTGCCGGGGCGAAAATTGGGAGGCCGCCGGTATTAGATAAGACGAGCAAGGGTCACGATGGAGGTGAAAGTTAGGGAAATTATTAATGTTTAAATTCATATAAGTTTGTAAAAGTTTCCATGGTATGGTAATTATTGGTAACGGAGATACATATTTAACGTGGAATTTTATGTAATAAATCTTAGATTTAAAATCTATGTACATATAAGGAATTCCAAGAATTCATTTGGTACCTTGTAAAATAATTTTATAAACTCTCACAAAGACGACGCCTTTGATCTGACAATGGAGGTCTCCCAACGTATGCTCACAGATTTGGACCAAACTAGCGTCAATCGATCACAAATATAATTAGTATGAAATTTGCAAATGGAACTATCTGCCAATGCTCAAGTTTAGCTGAGATATTTGCATAAAAAGAGGAGAAAATGCATCCCCAAGGCTGGCAAATTTATCATTTTCCAAATTTGCTGCGCATTTTTCCTGCTTTGAATGCAAATACCTCCGCCAAACCTGCGCATTGGCAGATAGTTCCATTTGCAAATTTCATACTAATTATATTTGTGATCGATTGACGCTAATTTGGTCCAAATCTGTGAGCATACGTTGGGAGACCTCCATTGTGAGTAAGTTTACAAAAATTAGTAAGCTAATTTCCCTGCAAAATATTTGTAAAATTCTGTAAAAGTTTGTAAGTTTAAAGAAATTTAAACAATGTTATCAGGGACTGGGTGAATTTTTGTCCATATAATTTACAGCAAAATATGAAAATATTGTTTTCACGGCATGTCTGTCATCTTTGTGAAGAAACATTTATAAATCTGTTAGTAAAAAATCTGAAATCAGCAAAATATTAGCTACATATTCATTTAAAACAGGTCAATTCATAAAATATTTATGAAAAATGCAAGCATCGAAGAACATTTAAAAACGAGATTTCTAGATCTAAAAACGCATAAATAAATACCCACCATTTTTCTAAACTTTCACACCAATTTTCATAAAAAGATCCACTTTTATTTTCAAAATTCATTACCCTACCCCAAACCCGTACCATTTCCCACCTCTCCCTTTCCTTCCTTGATACCCCACTCCGTCTTCAGCTTCCCCGTATCCCGCGTTCTTCACCAACTCATCCGCCGCCAGTGGCGCCGCATCGGTCAAATCTTCCTGCACTTCAGTCGGGACAGAGTCGACAATCTCTTTAACGACTTCTTTCGGCGCTTCGACCATCGCTCCCGCCACCGCGACCGGATCCGAAGCCGATACTGCGTCCGCAAGAACGTCGGGATTCGTTTCGGACGCTATATCGGCCACAATCTGGGGCGGAGCTTGGATAAGTAGGGCCGAGATAAGGGCCGAATCCGCCTTTGCGATCACTTCCGAAGCTTGGGACAAAATAGAAAGCCCGCTCGATTTGGCCAGGGCAACTTGCAACTTGGCTGATACCGTTTCCATGAGTTCTTGTTGAAGATGGTCCGGCGCGGAGGAAACGACCTCCTTCTGGTTTTCTAGGTGGGGCAAGGAGAGATATGACGGCGGGAATATTTTGTGGTGGTATACTTTAGAATAAACAGCTTACCCGCCGGTGACGAGTATATAACTCCCGCCGCGGTATATTTATTCGCACCGGCAATCATTGCTTGTAGAAAATGCGCAGGCGCGTTAGCTGCAACGTTGACTACTACCTGCAAAAAATTAGATATATTCCCGCTATATTTTCAAATTTCTAATTTACATTAACAGACGCTTCGACAATCAATTCCTTCACGAGCTTGTCCGATGCGTCCGAAATGGCGGCTACAGCAGCGTGCAAATTTTCCCCCAAGGAAACCCCCAAGGTCCCCATAAGAGACGAAATAATCCACACTGTAACGACAGCGGTCTGCATTTTGACTTGATCACAAATTTTCAAGGACTAAATTTCTCCAGCTTGTTGCGTCCATAATTTTGCAATTGTTATGGTTTCCGGGTCGGGTTGTATTTAAACTGAATGGATTGCATTTCCTGGTCTTCATATATAGAAATCAGGGTCAAGAGGGATACCTAAAATTAATTGTGTACATACACAACAATTAAGTTTATTAAGAAAATGCTTGGTACATATATGTAAATATGTACATAATCCATAAATTGTCTCTCACATACACGATATACGTATAAATGTTTGTGCAATGAGTAGCGTCCCATCCGAAATGAAGATAGTGATAAAAATTTTTTACTTGATTTTAATCCGAACAGTTAATTATTACCTAATGACGCCACACAATGATTGAACACCGTATTTTTTAAATTTTAAAATAGCCGGATCAAATAATAGTAGATACATGCGGATTTTTGTTTCAAATTATTGATTGGAATATTTACAGATGAGTATATGTACATTAAAAAACGATTGAATGTTTTTTTTACGCATTACTAGGTTTTCTATAGTATATTTATAAATGATTCAAGTAATTAATAAATGCTTACTAATTATTACAATTATGTATGATTTTCATAGATATGGTAAGTTTACGTGTCTTTTCTTTGCATCATAATTAGTGATTTATTAAGAACAAGCTATCACTAAACTCACATCAGTAGAAAAGTAATGAGAATATCGACACACATACTACAAATTTCCAGGGATGTACCCCTATCAAAAAACCTGCCCCCACCCAACGTCAACTTTGATCGGGGGCACGACCTCACGTACCGCTTAACCCATTTAGACCCGTTCATTCGCCGCAGAGATTTCAATAGCTCGCTCGACTCAACGTAGAGGCTCGCCATCATTTTCAAAGGTCCAATGATCACTCCGAATATTTCAGCTGCTACGATAGCGAACATAATCAAAGCCGGAACGGGTACCAGAGATGTCGACGTTATTAAAATGTACAATGGAAAGCTTTCGCACATCGTCCCGCACCCGACCAGGGTGGGCATTAGGGGCTGTGTTACGACGGAATTGTGCATGGCAGATAGCATCTGCAATGTGCGATATGCTCTCAGAGATTTGTAGATGTTTTGTCCTCCTTTGTTCAAATTCCTGTAAAATTAAGCAAGTATTTATAAATATTTTGTACATGCTTTGTACCGTATCCTGTGAATAATAGGGAGAAAAGTCGCTGGCGGAGGTGCCCTATTTTGAAAACCGGTATTAAATCATTAGTGACCGGAGTACATACCGGCATGAATTTGGGCACATTAGTTTTTGCCTTATTTCCCGTTGGTGACAAAATGTCTACATAATCATTACCAAAAAATAGGGCGCTACATTGGGTGCTATGAATAAAAAGTAGTAAATGCTTTTACTTCACAAAATTCAAGTAAAAGGTCACCTTGGTATGAATAAAAATTTAGTAAATACTTTTACTTTTTAGCAAAAGTACTTACTTAAATTTCCATGACTTTTACTTAGCAAAAAATAAATGCTCAGGCTTTGTATGAATAAACATAAGTAAAAGCTTAGAAAACGAAGTAAACTGTGAAGTTGCTATACCCCGAGCTTCAAGGTTTACTTTTTTTTTAATTCCAAGTCATTTCATTAAATTTTTGGATTGTTTTTTGACAATTCTATACCGTGATTGATTTTCGAAAATAGTATGACCGTTGCCAATTTTTAGGCAGTTTTGGACACCGAATTTGGACGCCCCAAATGTCCAAAAGTGTCCAAAATAGAAAATGGGGCAAAATGTTACCAGTTCTTTATTAACGACTTTGTTGCAAAGCTATGCACAGTATGTAATCTCCTATTAATTTTGAGCATTTTGGTGTGCAAACTGAAGCACTGATTTTTAAAATTGATGAGTAAATTTTCGAACCCGATATTCTCAAATTCCTATTGACCCCGATGGGTCAATAGCAATTTTTTAAATGTAGTGTAATTTAGAGCAAATTTAAACATAAATTAAGCTGAAGGTATGGAAAATTTGCAGCGATTACGCAACTCGAGTTTAAAAGAATCCCGTCTCGTTCTATTAAAATACATTCGCTCTGTAACCGCTTATCACACTATTCTGGTCTTAATGGAACGTTATTAAATTACATAACGCTAAAATGTTATTCTTTGAATCTCCCACCCACCTCCCCCCTGTTGTAACGCTCACATAACGCTTTCGCAAAACCCTTTGTAACAATGAAAATTTGAATTTCCCAAAAAAAAATAATTAAACGTTTTATTTTAAATTCCATAATAAATTTTAATGTATTTAGTAAATAAAACTGGAGCAGCAGAAGAAATAAAGAACGCGAAAAACACATAATCACAAATAAATCGTGTAAAACCACGCAATTTTTTAAAATTGTATTTTGAGGCGACCAAAATAGTTATAACGACTGCCTCAAACCCCCCTCTCCGTAACGGAATTTCCAAATTCCCTCCCTCCCCTTATGATATTACGCAACTTAAGAACTTACCCTAAAACGTAGCCAACTACATTAACCAGCAATGTAGTTAGCTACGTACATTTAGCGTAAATTGCATATACGCTAAATGTTCACTTTATTTCAAAAATTTTAATTTTATTTCGAAAATTTTATTTTTATTTCGAATAATTTTAATTTTATTTCGAAAATTTTAATTTTAATCTGAAAATTTACTCGGTTTCCATGCAATAAAATCAAGTACTTGCTAAAAAGTACAAGTATTTACTTTGTAGTAAAAGTAAAGTTTTATTCATACCAAGTCAAGTAAATGCTTCCAGCTTTACCTTTTACTAATTTTGGGTGCTTTTACTTTTACTTGTTACTATGCAGTATTTACTACTTTTTATTCATACCAGGCATTGCCTCCTCCGGTAGCGATTTGTTTCCAAGGTATTTAGAGTGTATGTAGTCTAACCTGTTAATTGTATCGAGGATTAGTTGCTTCACGACGTTAGGATATATGTACTAGTACCACAACCATGGTGAAAACGACCGTTGCTGAAAGAATAGCATCCGCGAAGGATAGCAAAGCCGCCGGCCAAAGCCTCATGAGAACTGCCGTATTCCCGCCATCGTTCCATGATTCACATTCCAGAAGAATAACACTGGTCACGACGGGCGGCGTGCAGGGCTGGAGGAAGGCAAAGGTAAAGGGGATGATCGGCATTGAGATAAATATTATCTTGGTTATCGCAATGAATCCAATGTAACGAATATGTACGGTTTGTACCCCTGCAAATTAGGATATGGGGATGACCCTTCAGTTTCATGCAATGTATATGTATATGTATTGCCAATACATATACTGTTGTTGGGCCTATTGTTGAATCGAAAAATTCGAAAACATGTCTCTTCAGAATGACTTACTTGACTTGTAAAAAATCCGAATGCAATATTTTTTAAAAAATTCAAAATTTGAAAAAGTGTATATAATTTTAATGAATTTCAAAAACTGGCAAAAAAGTATGAAATTCAAATTTCGAGACAATTGAATTTTTTATAAGTAAAGTAAGTCATTTTGAAGAGACATGTTTTCGAATTTTTCGATTCGCATTAAAATTCGAAAATTTACAGAATTTTTTAAAATCGAGGTTTGGGCTGGAAAATGGTTTAAAATTGGCGCCACGCGCTCAGATTAGCGCATTAGGAAAAATCAAAAAATACGGGTACGCTTATTTTTTGTGGTGAACAAAATAAAATTGATCCCATGCAGATCTGAGTTGTACACATAAAAGACTTGCATTGTAAGCTGAAGAACTAATTTAAATTCGAAGAAATCAATACCTGTGTGACTACGAGATTTCTGTTTAACAGTGTTCTACCCAATCCTACCGATCTGATAATTAATTACTCTCCGTTCGCACACAGTTGAATTTTCATAGAAATTGAGAATTCTGAGAAACTTCCCCGAAGCATTCCCGAGGGAATTTGAGACTGCCAG